GAAAGACTTATCAGCTCTAATTTACTTGCAGACTCTGCTTGATAAACTGCATGATGAAAATGCATTTTGAAAAACCTAGAAACTATTTTAAATTAATGTAAGACTTCAACTTATACCTAGCTTTCTAATTTGTAACAAAAAAGTGACTTTAAAATTGTATTTGACTTGTACCTGGTATCGACTTATATGCAAACATATATGGTATTTATATGTGTGTATGTTTGTGTATATATATATATATATATATATATATATATATTAGGGTGGTCCATAAAACAACTTTTTTGAGAAAAACCTGCTGACACCCCCTAAATGTGTTTTATCTAATGCAAAAACACTAGGTTTAAAATTTTTTTGAACAAAAATTATTTTTAGGGGTAGCTCAAGGCCCTCAAAAATTTGACGGGTCCCTAATATTTTGAAAAAAAAACTTTTTCTAAAGTATGTCAACCTGGTACTCAAAATAAGCAAAATTATATAAAAAATTTAAAAATGATAATAATTTTTTATAAAAATAATTTTTTTAGGTATAAATGCATAAAAACTATTGTTTTTAAGCTGAAAATAAAAAAAGTCAATATTTTCAGGTTTTTGAGAATAATTTTTTTTAGGCATGTTTTTTATGTAAAATGATTATTATTTTTGAAGTTTTTATACAATATCGCTTCTTTTGAGTACCAGGTTGACATACTTTAGAAAAAGTTTTTTTTTCAAAATATTAGGGACCCGTCAAATTTTTGAGGGCCTTGAGCTACCCCTAAAAATAATTTTTGTTCAAAAAAATTTTAAACCTAGTGTTTTTGCATTAGATAAAACACATTTAGGGGGGTGTCAGCAGGTTTTTCTCAAAAAAGTTGTTTTATGGACCACCCTAATATATATATATATATATATATATATATATATATATATATATATATATATATATGTAAGCATGTATTTCTTTTTTGTAGAAACATCAAAATGGCACAAACTAATACATATGCAAAGAAACATGAAAACATTCTTTATAGCCAAGAGTTTAAGTTATATTTTAGTGAAAGCGTTGGAGTAGATTGGAGAACACTTGATTAAGGCAATTATCAGCCACTAAAATTATAAAGTTACAGTGAAGTGTGCTATGTCGTCAAAACAACAAACAATAAAAAGATGAGAAAAAATAAAAATCTAAAAACGGATCAACTATATTAAATTTTGCGTTTTATGTCTGTCTACATTTTTAGATACTAATTCATTCCTCTTATTTAATAAGTTACTATTGGTGTAAGATATTATGACATAACTTTCATCTAGACATAGGTTGCATAATTTTATCATAGTATTGTGAGATATACAAAATTTTACAATGTTCCACTCAATTGTTAGGTTTACACCACTTTCTTTTAACCTCCATACTTCCTTAGATAATTCAATATCTCTTTTATATTTTTTGATATTAAAAGATTTTCTATAGTTAGCATATTTAAGTTTGAATGTGGTTTCACTAACTCCAAAATACATTTTTTCCAAAATACATTCAATCATGTCCGGAGTGCCTGGGTATAAATTGGCTTGATACATTATTTTATTTACAAGCCACTGTTGATTTAAAGGGCACTTGCTTTTAATAATACAATTACAATGTTTATTGGAATCTGAGTTGTTGTTTATCATTATATGATGGTTATGAGAGTTAATGATTGATTTGATGTTTGGCATACAACTGAAACTCACCTTTAGAGTATCTTTATTAAAAATCTTGTGGTATTTATGGCCAACTGGGAAGAGTTTGTCTATTAAATCCAAAAAAAATTTACCAATTTTGGTAGAAACATTTTTACTACATGGGGGTTTAGACCAGATTATATTGCGCTTGCAGTTTTTGATAGAGGTTGGATAAGTTTTGGAATACAATTAAGTTTAAATTTGTAACCAGACTTTTTTAATGCATCCTAATACAAATAGGCAGAGTTTCAAAAGTAGTTTCATTAGATGAATTAACTGACAGCCTTAACTATATAGAATGAGGAAGTTGCTTTAAAATGCTAGGAGAGTGATTGGAGCCAACATATATATAACTTAGTTCATCATTTAGTTTACGAAACAGTCTAAAATATTGGACATTGAGGTTAAATGTCACGTTAAGGAAGTTCACAACTTTCATGTTACATTGTATAGAGATAGAAAATTGTTATTTTCAAAAATTTGAATAATATGTTTTTTTATTGTATCCATGAGGTTGCTACTAGCATTTTAAAAAACCTCTAACCCATCATCTTGGTATAAGCCAAAATCTGTTTTGTTATAATGCTGGGATAGCCAAAAAAAAAAAATTCCAACCAGTTCACATACCTCTGCAAAGTCAAAAGAACCTATTGCAATATCAAAAAAAAAACACTGTTCTTTTTAATCCAAGGTTGCTCATTATTAAACAACAATGATTTTCGAGCTTGTTTAATTGTTAGTTTATCTTTGTTTTAAATGGTTACACATTTTTCAGTAAATTTAATCTCATCATTTTGACGACTCGTCAAAGGTTTTCATTAATAGAAGGATAAAAATCAATAATGTTAAAAATTAAAAATTTATTAAAATGCTTGTTTTTAATACCTTTGAACCAATCTAAAACATTTTGCATGCTTTTCCATTGATTGAAGACAGGGAATATTTTTTAGCTCAGCAGTAACAATAAATAAAATAAACTTACAGGTTTTTTCGATTTCATTTTTTGCTGGATTTTAAAGATGTACACTAAGTTTGTTTAAAAAGTTATTTTAATGATCTTTTAAAGTGATTAAGCACTAAGATAGTGTATTAATTTCGATTCTGCTAAAAAAACCTCATGATTTGAATGATGAAACATAACTTTCACTTCCATATTTAACAGGCTATTTATTTGTAACTCATAGGATTTTTCATAGGATGCAGTATATAGTTGGTAAGCAGTTTATTGTATTGGTCTTTAGAGAGTTGATATAAGTTCCATGTTTTATCGGCTTGTGTAAATCTTTTGTCCAACAAAATATTATTTGGTCAAAATGTCAAAATATATTATATATATAAATATATTATATATTATTTTTGAAATTAACAAGATTTAATAAATCATTTTCAAAAGCAATCAAATCTTAAAATTGCTGAGGAATCTTTATTGATGCTGCAGTTTGAAGAAATCATTATTATTGCTCTGCAGATTTCTATTGTTGAAAAAAAATTCCATCAAATCTTTTTTATAAGCTCTTTCATTTTTTCTAATAACTTTAATTTATAGGTTTTTTCAGATGGTATATTCTTGGTAGAGTGATTAAAATTTACTTTCTCCATTTTTTAAACAACTTAAGAAAAGTGCTTGAATGTGTAGCAAATAATATACTATATGATACTTTGTATTTGCAAATGAAATACAAAAACTCTTTTTCTTTTTTTTCTTATCTTTTTGTTGTTTATTATTTTGATGACATAGCACACTCCACTGTAACTTTATACTTTAATGGTTTTTTTGTTTCTTGGTTTGTGTTACATGGCTGATGATTGCCTTTAGGCATAAAACTATTAGTACAATAAAAAGTATATATATATATATATATATATATATATATATATATATATATATATATATATATATATATATATAAGGCAATCTATATATATGCCAATCTATATATGCCTAAAGACAATATATATATATATAAATATATATATATTTATATATATATATATATATATACACATATATATATATATATATATATATATATATATATATATATATATATATATATATATACATATATATATATATATATTATATATATATATATATATGATTGCCTTTAGGCATGAAACTATTAGTACAATAAAAAATATATATATATTTATATACATGTATGTATGTATATATATATATATACATATATATGTATATATATATATATATATATATATATAATATATATATATATATATATATATATATATATGTATATATATATATATATGTATATATGTATATATATATATATATGTGCAAAGTGAATAAATATTATAATACCTTGCCACTGATTTTAGAAGATCTAAAAAAACATAAAATAAGAAATTAATTAAAGTTTTTATTTTTTTAAAACTCAACATCAAATCTATCAATATTCAATTTTAGTTTCCATTTTAAAAAATCAACTCAGGTCAGGTTCAGGATCATCATGATTACCCTGATACTAGTATACATATAAACCAGTATTACCTGCCCCATGCCCTGTTGTCTTCTAAGGTTTGTTTTTTAAAGCAAAGGCTAGGAGAAATATAATCGGGCTTAAAACTTCTCTGCCTTGGGACTCTTGATTGAGGTAAATCTAGAGATGGTGTCTCAATAAAAATACTCATCTTGCTACTGTCTTGTAAGAGCCCTTCTAGACAAAGACTTTAGCGGTAAGCAGAACAATTCTGCTGGATCACCTCAGAACCATTAATGGTTCTGAGGCCAGTTGGTAGTATGGTTTACCGAACTCTGTGGTAGCTCTCAGAGAGACTGATTCCAATAACAGCTTTAAAATATCAGAATATTATCAGTGCCATATTTTGCATGGATGGTGGTCCCTGTTTGTGCTTTTGGAGTGCATTGTCCAGATCACATAAGGAGCCCTAAGTTATGACTTTGGGTTAATTAGCAAGACTGAGAGAACAGCATAGCTCATTGCTTGAGATGCTGTTTTATGATAAAAATATTGAAGAGTGTTATAGTTTGTTATTAGCTAAATATCAAACATATAAAAAATGTGAAGAATGGTACATCAAACATGTATAAATATGATAAATGGTGCATCAAACATATAAAAAATGTGAAAAAAATTGTCAAATAAACAAAAAACATAAATGGATTAATTACAAAGTAAAATAAATTATTATTAAAAAAAACAAGTTATGGAATCGCAATAACGCTTTAGGATGGACATCTAAACCATTAATTAAAGAATATAAGATAGTACGTAACTCAGTTAAGAATAAAATGTGTTCAGAAATATGAAATGGATTGGTCTGTATTCATAAGCAAAAGACAAGCAATTAAATCTAACAAAATTAATGCATTATACAATCAAAATGATACTATTTCAACAACGGGTAAAGATAAAGCTAACACATTGAACAAACAATTCCATTCAGTTTTTATACAAGAAAATGAATTGGAGCGCTTGCCCTTCTTTGAATCTCAATTGGTCATTAAACCAATAGAAAACATAAATTTCACAAATGATAAAGTGCAATCCAATATATTAATATTTATTCCTTTCAAAGTGGTTGGTGGGGATGGAATCAGCCCTAACGTCTTAAAAATGTGCGCAGGAACATATTCTTTAACATTGCAACTAATTTTTCAGGTCTCCTATAATAGTGGATGTATTCCAAATGATTGGACTAAAGCAAATGTTAGTCCTATCCTTAAAAAAGGAAGTAAACTAGAACCATCTAATTACAGACTAGTCTCAATCACATCGGTTCCATGCAAAGTCATGGACCATCTTATATGGCAACACATAAACAACCATCTAACAATAAATAACTTAACCACCAAGGAACAACCAATCTACTCGAATGCTCAGATTTGGCGACAAAATGTATAGCTAGTAAAAGTAGACTTTTCTAAATTTAGACTTTTCTAAAGCTTTTGATAAAGTGCCATATCGATGATTATCAATGTATGGTTTAAATAAAAAATTGCTGAATTGGATTGATGCTTTTCTAATGAATAGGAGGCAAAGGGTAGTTATGGATCATAATATATCGAATTGGGTGAATATAACAAGTAAGTAATTGGGTGATATATAACAAGTTGGTCTAGGGATTTACATTCGTAAGAATTCACCCATTTGTCGGGAAACTAGGTTTGAATCCACAGACTACTCTATTATGTGCTTTCGTTTAGCACCACTTCACTCTATCACCTTTCTCTTTGTTCTATATCGCTCTCCTTCATCTCAAGACTGCACTCTTCTTGATGTTATTTCTGATTAAATTGACCAAGCCCTCATTCTTTATCCATCACCCAATATTGTTGTTGTCGGTGACTTTCATGTTCATCACACTGAATGGCTTGGCTCTTGTGTCAGTGACTCTGCAGGCATTAAGGCCTACAACTTTTGCCTTTCTCAATCCCTTACTCAAATAGCCAACTTTCCAACTCGCTTTCCAGACAACCCGAATCATTTACCTTCTCTACTTAACTTATGTCTTGTTTCTGAACCTAGTCAGTGCTTAGTTTCTCCACAATCACCCTAAGGTGCTTCTGATCATGGTTTGGTCTCTCTAAAACTATTATCTCATTCTTCTTTACCATCAGAATCCCCCTATCATTGTACATCTTACAACTACCTTAAAGCTGACTGGGACTCTTTCCGTGATTTTCTTCGTAATGGCCCCTGGATAGAAATCTTTTGTCTTCCGGTTGACAAATGTGCTTCTTACATAACTTCGTGGATTCAGGCTGGCATGAAATCCTTTATTCCCTCTCGAGGATTCCAGGTCAAGCCTCACTCTTCTCCATGGTTTTCCTCACATTGTGCTGCTGCAATTGCCAATCGAAACCATTACTTCCATATCTATCAGCAAAATAATGCTCCAGAAAACAGACGTCTGTTTATTACTGCTAGGAACCATTTTAAAAAAGGTTTTGTCTAACACCAAAGCCTACTATTCTTAGACCATGAAATCTTGTATTTCATCACAAAAATTAGGCTCTTGTGACTTCTGGAGAATCTTTTATCAAAAATAAAGGCAAGTCTGTAACTCCACCTCTTTTGTATGGTTCAGAATTTGTCACGTCACCTAAAGAGAAGTTTGCCAAGAAATTTTTAATCAATACCATCTCTTGATTCCACTAGTTGCGTTCTACCTGATATAGCCGTCAAACAGGTTGATCCATTGCTCGACATTCGTATCACTCCAGCTTCTGTATCTAAAGTGATTTCCTGCTTAGACTCTTCTACAGCTTGCAGCCCGGATAACATACCCATTATAGTCTTGCAGAAGTGTTCTCCGGAGCTGTTGTCTATCCTTTCAAAACTATTTAACAAGTGCTTATCAGAGCCTTGTTTTCCAGCCTGCTGGAAAGCAGCATCTATTTTTAAAAATTCTGGAGAGCGATCTGGTCTTGGTCTAACTACCGTCCCATTAGTCTTCTTCCTATCATAAGCAAGGTTTTTGAATCTTTTATTAACAAA